ACTTCTTAGAAAAAAAAAAAAAAAACAAGCAATTGCACATGTGGAAAGCTTAGTTTTTCCTGCTAATTCTTAGCATATTCGTAGCGTTTTTTTTAATTTCCTACTAAATTGTTACTGTAATCACTTGCCCATATTAACATTAATTTTTTTAATTCCCTTATTATCATTTTTATAAGAAATATTGAAATTTAGATAATTCAATCAAGGCCCTATAGCAGCATCCTAAGCTTATTGTTATCCTGGGCTTGTTGCACTACCTCATTGAGTGTGCAGATAAAGGAATAAGTACATAAAATTAGAAATCCTTTGTGGTTTCCATATGGTAGGCTGTCACTCAAAGTATGTTAGTTTAAGGGTAATGTAGGAGAGAAGAAAAGAGAAATAAATTTTTAATTACTTAAATTATAATATTAATTAATATTATAATAATATATATTACTTGGCTAAAAAAATTTACCCCTTACATTTCCTCTACTTTATTTCCCTCAAACCAAATAAACTCTTATAATTAGTGATATAATAATTATTTATGCTATAGTTTTGCTCGATGTGTGCTTTTGTGGTGTGCCTTACCATTAGAATATATTGATCTTGTGACTATTTCGTTTTCTTGATAAGTCATTTATATTTATATTTTAAAAATAGTGACACTTCTACTAGACACATGGTGAAACACGTCTGGGGTCAAAATATGTTCTATGTTTGACAAGGAAAGTCTCATGCGTATGATGGATAATAAAATTCATTTTTTCTTCTCAATGATATTTCCATCATTCTCATAAAAAGAGTCATCTTTAGAAATATTTTCTTTTTTTCAATTTTACAACTATAATTCTTATCAAATAATTTTTAAAATACACATCTTACCCCTAATCAGAAATTAAATTTTTTATGCGCTGCTAGCAAGACTTCGAACTAAAGCTGAGGATATTTGTTTATCAATGTATCCATGCCTTCAGTCTAAAAATTAAGATACCTATAAATGCCTCGGATGCAGAGCCCAGCCACGAACCTTCTTCTTTTCCTTTAAAAGCTCCAACTCTTGCTTTTGCTCACTCTAAAGATATCCCCCGCTCTCTCTCTCTCTCTCTCTCTCCCTCTCATCGGAATATCAAACTCCGGCCACATTTCTACACTCCATAAGGCCAGAAACTGACACGGTTACTCTTTTCCCACAAATATCATTCAACAATAATCTTTTTTCCACATGCAACAGATCCTCATTCAATAAACAAAAAACCCCAACTGGAAAAAGCACTGAAAGCTTTGCTCCTCCAAACACCACCACCACCCCCACCACTCTTCCAGTACGTATGGAATCTCACACCTTTAGTTTATTACTTAATTCACACACTGTTCCTTTTTTTTCCTAAATTGCACGCTTTTGTGCTCAAAAGCACCATCTCAGAGTTACATTTCTCGTTTAAAGTTCCTTTTCTTAAAGGCAGTGATTGTTTTTTGATGGATAGAAAGATAAGAATCATTATTATAATAATGTTAGAAGGAACTCCTTCCCCGAAGTACCCGACTCCCCATGATCTCTGGTATATTCCTGCTTCATTTCCCAACAAATTAAGACACCCTTTATCTTTTCAGTTTCAGTTTTTTAAATTTCATTTTGAGAACTTGTTTTCTTGGAGCTTTCCTGCATCAAACTCATCTCTTCAGATCCTGCTGGTAATTCTCTTTTCAAGCTCTTTTCTTAAGTGGGTTTTGTGTTTACCAACTGTTTGTTGTTTTTTTCCCAACCAAATTCAAAGCTTGCAATGTGTGCTGCCTGCTCTGTTTGAATACTGCATGGTTTCTCCTAACCATCCACATTAATGAGGGCTTTCTATTCTTTGACAGCCTGTACAATAAATACCATTAGATTTTTGTGGCTGTGTTCTGGGCTCTAGAGATATCTTGTTTAATCACAATCCTCGTACACTTAACCTTTTTAACTAGTGTCAAGAACCCTATCTTTCTTCCCACAGTATCTCACAGCCCACTTACCTAAAACACCCATTTCTGCATTGAATGAAATCTTCTGAAGCATATCTGCATCTCTAGGCTGTAGTAGTAGGCGCATTTGCTGCAAAGATTTGGGCTATGAAAAGAGTTTAAATTTCTTTGGCATAGCTAGCTAGAGGCCAGCTTTTTTGTTTCATTAAGTGCTACCAATATTCTCTACAGAGTATAAGATCTGTTGGAAGAGCTAGCTGGAGTTCACGGTCAATGGGAGGCTAGGGCAGCTGAGGAAGAAGCAAGCCATTTAATGCTGAAATAGGAACGCCTAAAAAGCAGAGGTTAGTTGCGTATTGCATTCTCTCTTGACCACTGAATTACCATGTGTTTATGAGTTGGTCGGCGTTTTGCAGTGTTGTGGAAAGAGTTTAGTTACTTTTGTTTTACTCTCTAGCTTTATGTCTATATGTCTATATTCATGATTGCTATGGGTGTCTTGGGGTGTCTGGCGTTTTGTGTTTTGGTCATGTCTTGCTCAGGGGAGAATGGCGCACTTATTCTTCTTTTCTAATGCATGGTGGGATGCTAGATAAAGTAGAGACTAGAGAATAAGAGAGACTAGAGAGACTCGGAGGGGAAAGTTTATCTCAAGAGAATGCTTACCTTTTTGGCCGTATTTGGACTTACGCAAAGCTTTTATTCTCCCTTCTTGTTCACGAGAAGAAGTTTTTGTTTTGTTTTGCTTTGTTCTTTTTCATGATTCATGATGAGATAAAGGTTTTTTCCCTTGTTTTTTTTCTCTTGTTTTTAGTACTTTCCTTTTTGTTTTCATAATTTAGGAGAAGTCTTTTTAAAAAAAAAAAGTCAAAGGAACGTTGTAAAAAAAATATATTTGGTCTGGAAGAAAATTACTTAAGTGATAAGACAAATTTTCTTAAGAAGTTGGAATTATGTATGTACTTTTTTATATAAAAAGAGGGAAGAATTCATCCTTCAACTCAATATGAGCACCTAGCCCTTAACAAGGCCTGCTGGTTTTGGTTAGTGGCAGTACAAGGAGATCAAGGATAGGACTTTTTTTTTTTTCCTCAATTTTGAGTTTTGACTCTTTTTTTCTTCTTAAAAAGAGATTTCAGGTAACATCTTTAACAATTTTTT